GTGGCATTGAAGGGGACCTGGAGGAGGGGAAGGGGCAGTGACCCAAGCAGAGAGAACAGCCACAAGGAAGGCCCAGAGATGGGGGAAGACCCAGACATTTCTCCAGGTGCCAAAGGAGCACATGGGTAGAGAAACGCATCCCCCCAGGGAGAAAATCCAGATGACCCAAGTAGACACGCTTTGAATAAATATTTCCAGAAACCTACCCTAAAACTGGTGCTATCAACGCAGCTGGGGACAAAACAGACACAAGGGAACTGGACTCAGTCCGTGCCCCAGAGGTGCTGGCAATTTGATGGAGAAGACACAGAATAAAATAGTCCTGCACATGTGAAACGGCAGGGGGCGCACTTGCCTCCTCCTCGGATCCAGTCCCATCCTTTCCTACCTGCATTGTGGCGGGAGCCTCCTCCCTGGTTTCCCTGTGCTCCTGCCTCCCTCTCCATCCATTCTTGCACAGCAGCAGAGGGGCCCTGTTAGAACCCAAATCACTTCATGCTTATCCTCTGCTCATAACACACGCCCCACCCACCCCAAAACTGATGACATCCCATCCCATTCAGTCACAGCCAGAGTCTCCTTCAGCCCCACCTCCCCGACATGGTCTCCTTGCCTCCCCTCCCCTCCCCTTTCAGCTATAGCAACCTCCTCTCATCAGGAAACAGACCATGTACAGTGCCACTCCAGGAGGACGGAATCACTGCTAAGTGGGTAGAAGGCCTATCTCACCTCCTCCCCGCAGCCCTGCATAAAAGATCATATTCCCAGCATCACCCCAATGTATCAGTCAGCTCTCCTGTTTTCTGTATTTCAATGCTTTGACATCTGGGGCCTTGCAGACCCCAAAGAGACTGCCCTTCCCAGGGTTAAAAACACTCAGCAGCAACAGTCAACCAAGGTACCTGGGGGGTGTCTGCAGGGAAGGGAGGAATCCTGCAGAAAAGAAGCAGCCCCTTTCTTCTGTCGCCTCCTGCTACTGGATCTTATTCCATCTGGGGCTGCTGGGCTGGCTCTGAATGAGAGGTCAGGGAGCGGCCCTGTGAACTCCAGCATCTGTCAGGGCCCCTTCAACAGCACAAGGGTCTGCAAGCTGAACTTACCACTCTTGCCAACCAGGCACAGCTGGTCTTAAAAAGAGTCAGCCCACATAGTTCTTCACTGGAACCTCCCCAACGAGGCACATGCTATTCTGTGAAAGTGACAACCTGGAGTAGCAGAAAGTGTTGCAAGTCTCGAACAAACACAATGAGCTTGGGCTGTGGGGCCAAAGCATCTCAAGTATCTCAAGTTCAAGTCCCTGACAAGCCACTTCCTTGGCGGGTGTCAGTGGGCAAGTTGCTGAATCCATCCTCCATTAAAAAAAAAAAGACCACTAACACCCACCATACTGGGGGGACATGGAGAAGAAATGAAATAAAGAATAAAGTACCAAGAACTGGCCCATAGTAAGTGCTCAATAAATAATAGCTGTTGCTATTATTGTTCATTACTCCCCTCACTCAACGGCAGTGACAAAAAGATTTGATAAAACGCATACACGGGATGGGGGGGCAGGCCCTCAGCCTGAGTTTTGTATCGCATGTCAAGGGCCGGTCACACATTTCTCATTGACTGCACAGCAGCAGCTGCTGATGACAAGTGTGTTTTCGCAGGTCCCTACCACAGGCACGCCAGAATCACGACTTGGAGATCTTACTCATTAGCCGTCGGATAATGAATGTGGGGGAACGCACCGCTATGCAGGTACTCGGGGGGTCTGGATTTCGCCCCTGCCCTCCCCTGCGGCCAGTACGTGGCTCCTCTGGTTTCAAGCAGAGCTCTGGCTACTTAAGAAGGCGGACGACCGCCTTCTACTCTGCTGAACAGAGTTTTCCTCATCCAGAAAAAAGGGAGTGATGATAACGCCTTCCTCCACTCGCTGTGTGAGGACCGGAAGAGGATTAAATGAGATAAGGCGGTAAAGTGCCTGGCAAAGAGGAAGATATTTAGTAATAGTTTCCTCCTAAAGCCACTCTGTAAAAATCAAAATGGATATTGCGTCAGGCAGGATTATTATGTCTCCGAATAGCAGAAAACCCAGCTCCAACTCTGTCTTGGAGTGGGGCTTGGGGGAGTGTGAAGAGAGGACGTTCATAGGCTCACGTAACTGAAAAGCTCCAAGGCCAAGTGCAGTCATGGGGAGTCAGCTTCCTTTTATCTTACACTCTCCACCTTGGTGGCTTTTCTCCCTTTCCACTGGCAGTTCTTGGTGACAACAGCTCTTCAGCAGCCCAGCTTCTCATGGTCTCAAGTTCACGTCCAACAGGAAAGCGCAAGATACCTTTTGGTTAGCTCCTGCCAGTTCTGAGATTCATTTTGATTGGAGTAACTTAGACCACATGACCATCATTGAGTCTATAAGTGAGGCTATGAGGAGGCAATGCTCTGATTGGCCGAGCTCTGCTCTACCACGTGGTCTGAGAGGAAAGAATGAAAATAGGCTGAGCCAGCAGTGGCCCTCTAGCGCCCTCTACGGACAAATCTTAACATTGCACTCCGGGCAAAGAAGAGATGCTTAATAAGGAACTGTCCGTTATAAAAGGGCAGGTATCGGAGGGTGAATTTGGAGCTGAGAGGCAGTAAATTGGCAATTGGCATACATCCCCAAGCCTGGAGCCACAGATGCATCTTCCTAGCAAGAGCTGTGGTCAGAGAGAAATGCACAGAGACAGCCTGGGGCAGGAAGGAAACAGGTTAATACGTTTCCCAACCCCATCTTCTGCCAATGCCCCCTTTGCAAACCCAACCGGAAGCCGGGAGGCAGGACGCCCCGGTGATGCGGTCCCTAACAGTCAGCCTCCCTGGGCAGAGGTGGGTCCGGGGAACAAACGGGGTGCTCAGCTCAGTAGGCGCGGTTGCTATCCGCACTGTACAGATAGGATAAGAGGGCACACGTGACCCAGATCCACTGCACTGAACCACCCGGCCCTGGAGCTAGCCTCCATAAGCAGCTGAGAGAGGGAGTAGAGGCAAAGGGGGCGCAGAGGGGGGACGGGATTAGCTAGAACAGAGACTTCTTTAAAAAAGAAAAAGCACTCCTAGATTCCTAGAAGCTCAAATGTCAATGTTGTCCCTTCTAGCAATTTTAAAAACCTGCTTCTACTTGCTCCAGAGAGGGAGAGAAAGAGAAATAACCATTTCAATCTCTCTCCAACAGGAAGACCAGCAAGAGTTCTCATCTTTCTCAGGACTGTCTCTCATTTGCACGTTGAAGCAGGCTGCTGTGGGTGAAAAGTAAGTGGGGAAAAAAGGAGAAGAGAATAATGCAAAATGCAGTTGCACTGCACCCAAGCAAGAGAGACTGAAAAGTTGGAAAGTAAACCCAATAAACGGTGCCTATGTTGGGTGCCGTCTGCCAGTGGTGTGCATGGTTTTAGACAAATATATATTCAGCAGCTGATTTGCACCACAAGCCTGAACCACCCAGTGGAGAGGGGACTGGGTCGTGTTTGCCTCAGGAAACGCAGATGTGCTTTTTGGGTGACTGCAGCCTCTCTCTCCTAGTTCTGGTGAATGGTCCGGTAGCTGGTTTACAGTCTCCTGAGTGCACTCTCAACCCTGGCTACTCAGGCCGTGGTCTGTGGACCAGTGGCACCCACACCCCATGGAAGCCCATTAGAAATGCAGACTTTGTATATAGAATTGCTATAGAAACTTAGTATACTGAAATACAGTTATCAAAATATTTTTAAAACAAATAACTGGTTCATCATAAACACACTTCTTGATTAACCCCATTAATTAACAAGATATAGCAGTGGTTCTAATAATTATCATAATTTGGAGATATCACACATAAACAATATTTTAAGGTATCTTCACGCATAGCCCTGGTGGGTGTCTTCGTTGGTTGGAGCATCATCCCACGCTAAAAGGCTGTAGGTTTGATTCCCAGTCAGGGCATGTACCTAGGTTGCAGGTTCCGTCTGCAGTTGGGGCATGTACAAGAGGCAACTGACCAATGTTTCTCTCTCTCCTTCTCTCTCTCTAAAAATCAATTAAGAAACATATTCTCAGGTGAGAGTTTTAAAAATCTTCATATATATTCAATAAAAGTAATGTAACATGAAAATATCTGGGATTATTTGGGTGATAAGTGATAGTGGAGGGGAGGAGAATGTCCTTTTCCTTCTACCCTCCTCACTTCTAAGGTGAACTCTAACAAGAGACAGAGGAAAAGAGAACAGCATAAAACTTAGTAAAAATGTTAGGGGACACAGGAGCTCTCCCAGGGAGAAAACCCAGAGCAGTGACTCTACCTAAGTGTTTATATTCTTGGTTGAACAAAGATTAGCGATGATGGAAAAATAACTAAAACATATGAGAAGACTAAAGGAAGATGGGTTATTTTCACAAGCCTGTTGGTACAGATTTTCCTTGGCCTCAACCCCATGTCTCTGGTGATAAGAATGTCTCCTTCCCCCGGTACGGGGAGGGCATCTTTCACATGGCAGCCCGAATCCAGCTCGGAGAAGCGTTTTATTTGAGCCACGCATTGTAGGGTGGTTCACTGACATTCTAAAACCTGGAGCTTTTACACAAAAATCTAGATTTCTGGCTTCTTGGCATCACGGGTGCTGCATTCCCACCGGGTAGCTGCCAAGACAGCTTTGGGTGCGCATGCGCTCTCCTGTGCTTGACCCGGAAGAGGCAGACCAGTCACTGCCTGCCTGACCCCCAGCTAGAGTGTTCATTGCTATGCTTCTTATAATAGAAAAACATTTCTCTGTATTTAGGATGCTTACCCCAAGTGGGGAAGTGAGAAATTTACGAAAGGGCACCTGTTTCTCACACCCCCGGCCTTCCCCCCTCCTTTAGGTTTATACAGAAGCAGGAAAGGGGTGGAGGAAGTTTGTGTGCAAATAAGCTTTGAGGTTCCTTGGCCCATAACAGAGGCTACGTTAACGTTCACTGATTTCCCTCCTTTGGAGCCCATATGTACCCAGACAGACTAACGCACCAGAAGCTGGCGTTTGTCAACAGAGTACTTCTCATCTAGATTCAGGCAGTGCTGGGCTCAACCGGAATTGCTGGGTCTGAGGCCGCCACAAACTGCTGTCTGTTCTTTGTCCTCCGGCCCCACCTACTGGTCTTTCCAAGAACTACAACCTGGAGTCAAGTCAGCTCTCCCCACTGCTCTGCTAGGTAAGACATCCAGGTTTGGAAAATTCCCTAAAGGAGGTAAGAACCCTAACATATCCATGTTCTCGCGAAGGATCCCCTCTATCCCTATGTTCGTCTGGATCCTTCCATGATCCGCTGTCTCTAACATCTGTTTTACGTCAGGGGTATGGATTCGGTGGGCGCTCTTCACAATTGTGTTATGGCTTCCATCTCAGGTTAGAAGTCAATCCCAAATTTGGATAACGTAGGCATGAGAAGAATATAAATCATTCCCATATATTCACGCCTGGCTACTTGTCACTCTTCAGTCCTCAAATTTAAATGTCATGCAACCTGCCATTCTCCCCGCCACCCCACCCAGTCCCTCCTACCACATTACCAGGGCTGATTTCCTTTGCAGCTAATAAATATTATTTATTGTTTAGGTATTTTCTACCTGTTCATCACCTGTTGACTCCAATAGAAGGTAAGAGTCCTTCTATTTTGGTAGAGTGTGAGCCTCACTACCACCCTTTAGGACTAACAGTGTTGTTATAAACACCCTTTTCTATGTTAAGACAGTGCTTTCTCATGGTATAAAATTAAGATCTTTACCCCAGCAATTCCACATCTACAAAGTTAACCTACATTCATTAGTAGGGATGTGTACTCAGGTATTCATTACAGCATATACAAATTCATGTTTGGACAGTGGGACCTTGGTTCTGCAACTTAATTTGTCCCGGAGGGCTGTTGGAGAAGCAATTTGTTTGAAGACCGAATCTCCTCCGTTTGGTGCCTCAGAGACACGTGACTGATCAGACAGGTGTCGGCATGAAAGGATTGCAGCATTGAAAACCAAAGTTCTGCTCGACAATTAAGACATATTTTCCATGAACAACTTGGTCTAGAACCAGATTGTTTAAGATAGGAGGCCTGTGAGAACCGAGATTTGACTGTAGCAGAAAACGGACTAGAAACTAGATGGGGGTCCCTATCCTAGTATCCGTAGACTCCCAGAGTGTCCGTGGATGGAACTGTATTTCCATTGAATTGGGTTCCCTGTGTTCCTGTGCATTTTACTTTATGCACATAAAAACCTATTATTTTTCCCCCCTCAGAAGTCCATGGATTCCTGCAGCCTGCCACACGGAACTACGGGACCAAAAGAGAACTCTTTCATCAAAAGCGACTAGTTCATTGGATCATGGTGCATGTATACAGTGCAACTTTAACTGAGCTGTCAGGAAGGGTTAGGTTTATGTTCATGTGCTGATCTGGAACAATCTCAGACGTGCCCCGCTAAGTGAAAAAAGCCAGGTATGGGATGGTGTGGAGAGCATGGGTGCTGTGTATGTGAGAGGAGGAGATGCTGTTGCATCTTTGCCTGGGCCCCTTCTCAGGAGGGAGGCGCAAGAGGAGGAAAATCAGGGTTGCTCTGGGGCAGGGAGAGCAGGGAACCTGGGGGGCTGCGGTTGGGGTGGGGAAGATCCTTACTTTTTACTCTTTGGGGATTATTTAGACACCTTAAAAGCATGTGTAAACATCTTATTTCTAAATTCAAGTGGGAAAGTTTAAATAAATCTAAAGTGGAATGCTTAAAGCCACAGTTAGTAGGGTCTCATTACATTTGTTGGGAGAAAGACAACTAAATATATGAAAAGTGACTACATACTTACTTTAAAAAAAAAGATGTACAAGATCAAGGTCATGGTCCACCTGCTCAGAATCCTCTCTCAGACAAGGGCCCAGGCGACACCAGGAGAGCAGGGCGGTCGCAAGGCGGCCTGAGAGGCCCCCAGCCTCTGTGCTCTTCCTCGGACACCATGCTGTGGGGCCCACGGCACATGCCTCTCTTCCTACCATCCTTGAACCTGTATTTTGTCTCGGAAAATATGGAATAGCAGAACCTCAAAAAATTTACCTTTTAAAAAAATGGGGGACTTCCATCAAGATGGAGGCATAGGTGGAAATACCTTGCGTCTGCGCACAACCAAATCTAAAAACAATAAAGTTTTAACAACAATAAACACAACCAAACCACACAGAAAATTGACAATACAGAGTCTGAAGACAACAAAATGCTCAGCTAAACCGGTAGGAGGGGCGAAGCCAGCAGAGGAGCGGGTTGACCAAAAAGATCCCCAACCAGGGTGGTGCGCAAGCAGCCGACGGTGTGGATCCCAGGTGTGGGCTAGCTACAGGCGGACACAGGGAAGAGGCATGTCTGGCTGTCTGCAGTTGGTGGAGCATTTGCAAGCAGATAAACCAGTGAAAAGGCGAGCATTGAGACTGCACGGCACAGGGCTTCGGGCTCGCACATTTCTGCTCAGATAAACAGGCAGGGGCAAGTGGTGAGGCGGACCCGGCGAGCGGAGAGGACCGCCATTGCTCCCTCTCTGACCCCACCCCCACACATAGCGTCACAAACCAGTGACCTGGGTAGCCCCACCCTGGTGAACACTTAAGACTCTGCTCCTCATACATAACAGGCACAAACACATCAAAACATGGCTCAAGAACAACTCAGAGCCCCAGAGCCCCAGAGCCAATAAATCTAAGTGATGAAGAAATAGCAAAACTTTCAGATGCATAGTTCAAAACACTGGTGATCAGGATGCTCACAGAACTGGTCGATTTTAGCCACAAACTAGAGGAACATATGAAGGCTAAACTAATTGAAATGAATGGAAATGCACAGGAAAGCAATAGTGATGGAAAGGAAACTGGGACTCAAATCAAGGGAGCAGACCAGAAGGAAGGAAAAAATGACCAAACAGAAAAGAATGAAGAAACAAGAATTCAAAAAAATGAGGAGAGGCTAAGGAACCTCCAGGACATCTTTAAACATTCCAACATCTGAATTATAGGGGTACCAAAAGGGGAAGAGGAACAGTCACGAGTGGAAACCTTATTTGAACAAATAATAAAAGAGAACTTCCCCAATCTGGCAAAGGAAATAGACTTCCAGGAAATCCAGGAAGCTCAGAGAGTCCTAAAGAAGTTGGACCCAAGAAGGAACACACCAAGGCACATCATAATTACATCAGCCAAGATTAAAATGAAGGAGAGAATCCCAGAAGCAGCAAGAGACAAGGGGACAGTCACCTACAAAGGAGTTCCCATCAGACTGTCAGCGGATTTCTCAAAAGAGACCTTACAGGCAAGAAGGGGCTAGAAAGAGGTATTCCAAGTCATGAAATCCAAAGACCTACAACCAAGATTGCTCTGTCCAGCGAAGCTTTCATTTAGAATGGAAGGGCAGACAAAGTGCTTCTCAGATAAGATCAAATTCAAGGAGTTCATCATCACCAAGCCCTTATTATATGAAATGTTAAAGGGACTTATCTAAGAATAAGATAAAAAAGATGAACAGTGAAAGGACAGCAAACTCACAGTTACTAACAACCACACCTAAAACAAAACAAAAGCAAATTAAGAGGACAGCTAGATCAGGAGTGAACCATAGAAATGAAGATCACATGGAGGGTTAGCAACAGGGGAGTGGGAGAAGGAGAAGGGGGGAGAAGGTATAGAAAATAAGTAGCATAGACCACAGATAGAAAATAGACAGGGGGGAGGACAAGAATAGTAGGGGAAATACAGAATCTAAAGAACTTGAGACATATGGTCATGAACTAAAGGGGGGGAATGGTGGGGGAGGGGTGTGCAGGGTAGAGGGGAACGAAGGGGAGGGAATAGAAATGTAATGGCATAATCAATAAAATAATAAAAATAAAATAATTATAGTAAAAAAAACCATAACGTTAAGTTTGCTCTGTGAACCACTTCTCTGTGTGTAGTTAATGTTAAGTGCATTCATGTCACTTTTCACCTGGCAGGACGGAACAACTACACCCATCTCCCATCCCCACCCCCCACCCGTCCCTGGCAACTTCCATTCAACCTCGTGTTTCTGTGGTTTTGACCACCCCAGACACCTCAGATCAACACCTTGAACACTTGCCACAGGGCAGGACAGCTCACTTCTGCCTCCACTTGGTTATCGTTAAAGGACTAATAGTAATAGTGCTCACCTCGTAATGCATGTGAGTTAAATGAGGCCATACTTGTAATGCTGTTAGAACAATGCCTGGCTCCCAGGAAGTGCTATATAAAAAAATTGCTATTGTGGTGATGGTTGAAATGGATTTATTTCATGTATATTAGGGGGAAAGAATTGAACCAGTACAGAAAAAAAATCTATGGTTTAGTGGGTAGTGTTGCTAAAAATATAAGACTAAAGTGTGTTTTTAATTTTTAAAAGTTGATTTAAAGAATGTTACTTTTTTATTTCGTAGGTTGGCACTCAATCCACTAAGCCACATCAGCCACTGCAGAATGTTACTTTTTAAAAAAATGCAAGTATGCACACAAGCTTTTTAAAGGGATCTAGCGCCCCCTCCTGGTAGCAGAATGTAGCTGTCGGGCTGACCCTGTGTTTCTGCAGCAGAAAATCAGAAAAGCTGATGAGGTCAGCCTTCTTCAGAGACTGAAGACAGGATGCTCCAAGGGCCATCCCAGAGAAATGTGGCCTCGCAGTGTCGAAGTGGCTTACCATGTGCCCACCCACCATGCCACTGTTGTTCACGACAACTCACCGCTCAAATGCGGCCCAGGTTGAAAGGTGACCCAGACTCAGCTAGCTGCCCTGCCCCTTCTCCAGGATCCCCCTCTGGCTTCTCGGTATGACTCTGCCTGGGCAGCCTGGTTTCCTCCTGGAAATGTCTTCAGGCTTGAGGAAGCCCACGGGAAAGCCCACCAGGAGGTCTTGGGGGGCGGGGGTGGGGTGAGAGGTCTAGCCCCAGCTCCACCTCCAGCCACGGCACACCAGAAGGAAAGACTCACCTTACTGCACTTACACTCTTTGTACACCAGTACATTTTGTCTGTAATGGACCCATAGGGCAAATTACTCGCCATGCCCTCTGCTCTGACCTTGTTGGGTCCTGTCACCTCCCTCTGCCCCCAACTCCAGCCACCCTGACCTCTGTCCTCAAATGCACTGAGCTTATCCCCCGCCTCAGAGCCTTGGCCCCTCCACCCAGATTTTCACACGGCTGGTCCACCTGGTGCCATCGATCCTGATGGCCCTGCTAACATTGGTCCCCAGCTGGCTGGCCCTCAACCCTTCACACCACCATTTTGTTTTACTCCCTACCTGACATTCTCAGTGGTGCCATCGTCTTTCTTCTCTTCCCTGCTCATCATCTGTTTTTGCACCAGCTGTGAGCTCCGAGGCATTAGGTGCCCGTCTGCCTGGCTCACTCAGCTCTCCAGCCCTGCTTCAGTGTTCACTGAGTACTGGCTCAATGAATGAACGAACATGAACATGAGCATCACTCCCACTTTACAAACCCAGGGTAACTCAGAGAAGTGGGGTGACTTGCCGGGTAGACAGAGGTCTCCCCGAAGGCCATGCCTTTGCCTACGCCACACTGCTCGGGGCTGGTGTGGCCACAGTGCAGGATGGTGCAGGCATCTCCAGTGAAGCTGCTTTTCCTCTTGTGTGTGTGCAGAGGGGGATCATCTCCGACTCTGGTGACATCACATGGAGGAGATTTAGTCATCGGGTTGGCTCACGGGCCAGCACCGTGGTGCAATCCCTTGGCCCATGATTCATCCCCACTGACATTTTCAAAGAATGTGTAGACACAGTATCAATGGAACTTCTCACTCACAAGGAAGAGTAATAGGTTACTCATTCCCTCGGTCACCAAATTAGCAAGCGAACTGCCTCCAAGAGATCTGGACAAAAGGGGACCCTTATGCATCTTCAAAACTCAGACACATCACACAGATGTTTTTTAAACAGTCACCAACAATTCCAAACCCTTATTCAGACCATATGATGGTTGCCAGAGTGATTTGGTCAATCATTTGACAAATATTTATTGAGCATCTACTGTGTTCTAGGCACTAGGATACAGCAGGGAGCCAAACAGACGCAAGTCCCCGCCCTCCTAGAGCAGATGTTCTAGTGATGGAGACAGACAGTAAACAAATAAACAAGGAAAATGGTCTGCCAGACAGTGATTCCCCATGTAGAAAAATGAAGCATAGAAGCCTGGGAGGAGATGCAATTTTAAATTGCATTTAAAATTTTTTTAATTGTTTAAATTAAATACTTAGGAAAGGCCTTCCTGAAAAAGTGGCATTTGGGCAGAGCAGAAGGCATAGCCTATGCAAAGGCCCTGAGGCACATGTCTCATGTGTGGGAGACTCAGCAGTGAGACCGAGTAGCTGGGGCCAAGTGAGCAGGAGAGAGCGTAGGAGACCAGGTGTAGAAATCGGAGGGCAGTTTGGTTGTTACTCTGAATGAGATGTGGGAGCCAGGGGAGGGGTTTGAGCATCGGTGCAATAGAACACCACCTATGTGTTAACAGATTCCCCCTGGGTGCTGTGGAATAACAGATGGAGGTGTGCCAGGGAGGAGCAGGGAGAGCAGGATGTGAAGATGCATTCTAGAAGCAGTGTGCTTGGCCCAGAGGGGGTGAGAAATGGGCACGTTCGGGTATATTTTGAAGGCAGAGCCTACAGCGTTTGATGCCAGATGGGATGTGGAAACAGGAGGCAAGGAGGAGACAAGGGTGATTCCAAGGTTGTGGCCTCAGCACTGGGAAGGATGGTGATGCTGTTTCAGAGCCAAGGTCTACTGGAGGAAGGGCAGGTTTGGGAAGGAGGGTTTGGGAGCAGATCAGTGTCACAGAGCAAACTTATCTGGGTTCATATAGATCAAGATGATCCCCAAACAGCCCCTGCCCAAAGCGGAACTTGGTCCAGAACCGGGGATGATGCTCAGTTTAAGCACTTTGCAAGCAGCAGAGAAAACAGCTCAGAGGGTGTGCACAACTCCCGCTGGAGTAAGACGACAGGAAAACACAGGCTGCCAGAGAAAAGGGAAGAGCTGAGAGCTGAGCACGAAGCCTCCAGCTCGAGGAAGGAGGCCCCAGCCCTCTCTGTTCTCACAGAATCCAGGACCCAAGCTCAGGGTCCCCTGGATTCATCAGCCCCTCCCTCCTGGGATTCGACCACAAAACCACAAAGGAGGAGCCTTCGAATCCTCGGCTTCTAATGAATGTCCGGCTCCCTGGGGAAGGATCTCAGTGAATGTGGAGGGGGGACAAGAAGGGCAAAGCCCCCAAACAGCCCAAAGTGTCTCGAAACCTGACAGTCTTCTCTCAGTCCTAATGGCAGCTGTCCTGATGGCGTCTCTCACTTTGCCCAGCGCTGTGCCTCGGAGGTGGACTACCAAGCCTGTGAGCAGCGCCTGAGGACAAACATATTCAATTGCTCCAATTACCCCCTGCTCCTGGCGACAGCAGGCAGTTTCTGGGCGGTTTTTAATAAAAACAAGTAGGCCTGGTGCCAGGGGAAGTGAGAACCACAGCCGCTGTCAACTGTCAGCTTGTCCCAGCTGATCAGAATGAGTGGCAGTGGCAGATGTGCCCTGTGGACCCAGTGACATGGGACCGAGATGTCTGCAGAAGTCTGGACATACAGTCAGAGATCCCAAGATGGGACTAACCAGGAGGCCTGTGGGTGCAGTAATCCCAGTGACAAAGAAAGATGGTCCACCTGGGAGGGGAAGGATGACAAGTGACCAAGCAGAGTCCCAGTTTAGGGCCTTGAGTGGCTGGACTTACATCTGGGTAGTGGATCTCATTTGTTTCTGGCTGCCTGGCATCTGCCTCCACTCCTGGCCATAGGAAGTGGATTTGCATTTGGAGAATTGTATTCATCACATCATTTTATTATGTATTTTTGATGCTTTGGCATCTGGGGGCCCTGCGGGCTCTGGAGGGGCCACCCCTCCCTGAATTACCAATTCCTAGAGATGGTAAACAACAAACCCTGGAAGGCACTTCTCATCTGCAAACCAACCAATCTACAGCCCATGGCCCAGCCTCCTCCTTTGCTGGCTCTCTAAACCGGGCCCCTATCCACCTGCCCTAATCACACTGGGCCAGGTACCAGGCAACTGGGGTCAGCCTCAGGTCGCAGAGCCTCTGAGGCCATTTATCCAGCCCATCCTAAGCCTGCTTTCCGTGCCTCCCGATATAAAACCAACTTTTCAGTAGCAGTCGTCTCCTGATCCCCTGGCCTCACCATTCCTGAGTAATAATAAAACCTGCCTCTTAAAACCAGAACTGCAGATTCCTCACTTATAGTCCGTGGGACAGAGTTGCACCCAGCCCAGCGGTGGGCATGTGACCAGACCTGGCCAATCAGAGTGTCCCATCCCTGCTCTCCAGAGTTAACTGCATGGTGACTCCACTTTTGAATAATAAAGCCTGTATTATGTTCTCCGGGACAAATAAATGTCCAGAGTCCTTGTAAAGTCCAGAAGAATTAAAGGCTGAGCTCAAATCCACTTGCCCTTACGAGCTGTGAGATCAAAGCAGTCGGGGCCCCTTTTGTCCCGGGAGCACAGGTAACCTTATGACCTAACGCCTGCTGCGCCATATTGGGCGACAAGACTGGCCCTCGTTGGGGATGGGAGAAGAAACAGGGGATTTCCTTTCAGTGAGGAGTACCAGGTGGGCTTTCTGTTGATTTAGAGAATGTGTTTTTCCCATCCCTGCTGAGCCAGTCGGTCTGGAAGGATCCACAAGGAGTCCTGGCTGATATTGGGGTTCAAGAAGGCATACCCAGGACTAGCCTGAAGGACAGCTGTTCCCTTTGGGGACCACCCACCCCAGTTGTCCACAGGCTTAACGGTTCTGCTTTAGAGACAAGGGGACCAAAGGAGGGATGAGGACACCTATTCCCCACTCTTCCTGTTTCCTTGGTTCAGTGCTTCTCAACCTTGGCTGCAGGGGGAAGTCACATGGGGTCCCAGGGTTGCCTGATTTAGCAACTAAAAAATACAAGACTCCCACTCATTTGGCATTTCAGATAAATAATGTAACATAAGCATGCCCCATGCAATTGTTGGGACATACCTGGTCTGAAAAATGTATTTGTTTTTCTGAAATACAAAGTTAACTGGACATCTTTGTAGTTTATCTGAAAACCCTAGGAGGAGCTTTAAAAAACAAACAACAAAAAATAAACAAAAAACAATCAATGCCAGGCCCCTGAAATTCTGGCTTCATTGGGGCTGGAGTGCTGCCTGGGGACAGGGCTCTTCTAAGTCCCCCAGGTGACTTCCTCAGCAGCCAGTGGAGACCACTGCGCTGGGGTGACAGTGTTTGTCCTCAGACCCACCCTTGTCCTCTCACCCTCTCCAGGGAAGATGACCGAGTTGGGGAGGAGGAACTGGGATATAAATAAACCATGACCCCTTGCTGCCTCCTCTTTGTGAGATTGGTGGGGGCGTACTCTGATGAATGGCAGGCCAGATCCTGCAGGCTGGGGTGGTCAGGTTCATGGGGGTGGAGACAGCATATTATTGTACCTAAACACAGTCCCCAAGTGGCTTCCTTAGAAAGGTGGGATTTTCACTCGTCTAAATCCTGTGTCTCTTTCTCACTTGGTTTTGAACCTCTGCAGAGAACAAAGAGGTGTTATGAAATGACCCCCTAAGGCCCCAAGTATGTTACTTCCTCTCCTCCTCCTGGGTGTGGCTCATTCATACTCATTGTCCCTCTCAGCTCACAGGGCCTTTCCTCTGGGAAGCCTTTCCCAGACCAAGGCAGGTCCCTGGCTGTATGTTTTCATAAAACCCCTGATTTTTCTTTCTGGCCCGTATCAAAATTGTCATTGACTGAAACAGGATTCTGCAACCTTGACACAACTGAGACAGGGTCGAATATTTGTTGTGAGTCTGTCCTGTGCCTTGCAGAATTTTCAGCATGACCCTGGTCTCTACCCATGAGATGCCAGTATCTTGCTCCCCTGCCCATCCCAGCTGTGGCAACTGCATGGTCTCAGACATCAATTAACTATCCCACACACTGTCACTGTGTTCAGGGCCCCATACCATACAAGGGGCGGTGCAAATTACCTGGCTGATTCTGGCTGATATTGATGTGAAAAAGAAAACATCAACATATGCGCCCCAATTGGGGATCCAACCCACAACCTAGGCTATGTGCCCTGACTGGGGATTGAACCCACCACTTTCAGTGCACAGGAGGGTGCTCCAACCCACTGAGCAACTCAGTCAGGGCCTGTATCTCCTTCTCTTAATGGTTCTTTCCCAGTACTACATGAGCTTTGGGATCAAAGACCTACCTACTCACTGCTGCACTCCTCAGTGAAGACAAAGCCCTGAAAAAATACTTGAAGACAACAGGAAGGGAGGGGGAGGCTGGAGCCCTGCAGCTACCCAAGCTGAGAACAGAAGGGGAGTATAACCTCTGCCGCCCTGTGTGAGCCGCTCTATTCAATAGCCTTCCTTCCTGAGGCTGCTGAACATTCCTCCCCATGGCTCAAGCGTGAGGGGCAAGTGTGCCCTGTGTGGTCTGTCTTTCTCATGGCCCTCCATATGCCAAGTCAGCTGGATAAAGCCTTAATCCCCAGATGTAAGAGGATAAGGCCCCAGGGGGAGAGTTTTAAAGCTTAATTTCTGAGCTCCGTCCGTTCAGCGCAGGCCTTCACTTTACATTAATTCTGGCCAATTTACCTCATGCTCCCATCCCAAAACCTGAGTCCGCGAGGCTGCAATTCTTAGAGACCGATGAGCTGAGGACCACAGGCCCTAGCTAGGCAGGTACAACGAACACTAGGAAAAAGATGTTTATGGTGAATCTACTTAAAATGGCCAGGGTGGTTCAGTTAGTTGGGTGTCCTCCCGCAAAGAACTGGCTAAGGTCACCAGTTTGATTCCCAGTCAAGCACAGGCCTAAGTTGAGGGCACACACAAGAAGGTACATAAGGAAACTGATCAATGCTTCTCTCCCTTTCTCCCTCCCTTCTCTCTCTAAAAATAAATACACTCTTTTTAAAAAAAATAATAAAAAATAAAATGGAGACCCAAACTTCAGAGAGAATAGTGGAGAGGAAAAATGTTTGCAAACTGGTAAGTAAATCTGACATGTAGAGGGTTTTGCCTGGCCCACAGTGCTTTTTAACTTTCTTTAAACAGCTGTAGCCACAGATGCAAAGGTATTTCACATTTACATCTGTGATTTCTGGCTGTAGGTAAGCCTGCATGCAAAAGTCAGCTGGAGAGTGGAGGCGCCCTTTGACAAGGCATTTCCTCTTCAATTAACCACTGCTACATACATACCAAATTTTTACTTTTGATTTTGTTGTAGATATTGGAAATTGGGCAAAGTAGCTGCCATTTCATGGAAATGTTGTTTATATCAGATTGGATAGGGAAGGACAGGAGGAGGGCAGAAGGTTGGAACTTGGACTTGAAGATTCCAAAGCAAGCCAAACCATAATACACAGTTTAGAAAATGTTATCAATACAACATAAGGTGGACCCTGAAGCCAACTTTAAGAAAATAATCAGAAGTTTATAAAAGAAACTGACATACTATGAAAGTGGCTTCTATTCTTGCTAACCTGTAAATTCTTCACTTTGGATATGAATTCACAATATTTAATATATAACCACTTTCCAGGTCATTAAAACAATGTACCCCTTAACACTTTTTTCTCTAGTATATATTCTACCACTTGAAGTGGAAATAAGATCCAAAGAACATCTTTAGTAAACAATAAATTGATCTTAAGTGTGCCATCTGTGATCAATTCAGTAAGACTAAGGTTACAACTTAACTGCAGGCATAACAGACCATTTTGAGAGCTTTTGAATGGGGGGGGTGGGTGGGAAAAAGCAGGACCGGCAAATGATCAGCAGATTAAAACACAAAATCCTGTCCCTTACAATGCAGCTCACAAGTTCAAGACGCCCTCCAAGTGCTGCAAGCACAGTACTCATCCTGCAGTTGTAGATTAACAACTACATCATCCAATAAATCGCCATGATCTTAAAGGTGATGTGACAACTCGCACCCTTCTCAGGTTAGACTACGTCTACCAGCCCCCTCAGTACTGCGGAAATGTCCCGTCGATTTTGGCGGCCCAGGCCATGAGCCCCCCCACCACATCCTGAACTGTCAGGGAGCCTAACTCTTGGACTGCTGTCAATGTCTGCAGGATCTTCACAGCTTTCTGGGATTCATTGCCCAGCTTGCAAATCACATAAATGGGGAGCGCTGCTCCTTCCTGTGTGTCTTGCTTCCCTTTCTGGATTGCTTCCCCTAAGAGTCTCAGGCTCTCCGCATCCCTCCGTTCCAAATGTTTCAAAGGGATGTGCAGGGCATGGGGCAAACGACAAATGTCCACTTCCACTTGGGGCCTGACATCCAGCAACACGTGGGGTGACCCAGAATCCAGAAGCCGCTTATAGTCGGTGACAGAAACTCGCTCCTCTGGGCTCAGCAACTGCAGGCAGCGGCACTTATCGGTGGCTGAGGAGCCACAGAAGGCTTCGTAGTCCTGCAGGTCAGTCACAGTGGGCTGCTCCCCGCAGGCCGCACAGTCGGGCCTGCGGCTCCGCAGCTGAATACAGCGGAAACGTCCTCTGAGAGCGTCAAAGAGCATCAGTCGGCCACTGTAGGAGGGGCCCAGGCCTGCGGCGATCTTCAACACTTCCAGCGCCTGCAGGCAGCCCAGGACCCCAGTGACTACACCGAGCACCCCGCCATCCGCACAGTTGGTCACCGTGTCCGCTGGAGGTGGCTGGGGGAACACGCAGCGATAGCAAGGCCCTCCGTCGTAGTGGTACACTGTGATTTGGCCCTCGAAGCGCAGGGCGCTGGCGGATACGAGAGGTCGGCCGGCCAGCACGCAGGCGTCGTTAACGAGGTACCGAGTGGGCGCGTTGTCAGAGCAGTCAGCGACCACGTCATAGCGGCGGACCAGGTCCAGAGCCGTGGCGGGCGTCAGAGCCTGAGCGTACGGAATGCACTCCACTGCCGAATTGAGACTGCGCAGCGAGGCGGCGGCCGAGAAGACCTTGGCCTGGCCGGCCAGTGCCTCCCCGTGCAGCACCTGACGAGGCAGGTTGCTCATTTCTACCACGTCGTAGTCCACGAGGCCAAGGCGGCCCACGCCGGCCGCTGCCAGGTACTGCGCCAGCGGGCAGCCGAGCCCACCACAGCCCACGACTAGTACGGAGGCAGCGGTGAGCCGCAGCTGCCCCTGCACGCCGAGCTCGGGCAGCACGAGCTGCCGGCTGTAGCGCAGAATCTCATCCCGGGTCAGGGCGGCCTTCGGCGGCAGGGGCGACACGGGAGTCGGCCGCTCTGGCTCTTCCTCCGCCAGAAGAGCCGCCGCCAGTCTCTGCTTCAGGGAACTCAGTTCCTTCTCCCGCCGGGCGACTTCAGCCTGCAACGCCCGGACCTCCGCTTTGGCAGCCATAGCGCCCTCTTCCCGTAGAGGTCTCGAATGGCATTTCCGTTTCCGGTTTACCGTCTCCTAGCGACTGCAGTAAACTAGACAATTTTACGGAGCTTTGGAAAAGCTGGCAAAATAGATACCTATTTCCAGAAACAACCTGTAGGTTCAACTTTAGAGATTCACAAGATCTGATCTCTCCAACGGAACTATACAGAGGCCTTAGGAGAGGGAGCACTCACCCGGACAGGCCCGCCCCCTGGTCCCCAATTTGGCACTGTCCCACTCGTCGCGTCATTCCGCTTCCGACGTCTTGCGCAGTTCCGCCATGGCCTCCAAAGAAGCCCGGCGTACCCCTCCGAAGTCTCGGCGGCGGCCTGAGGGGCGCGACCCGCGACAGGACAAGTACTCGGTACTATTGCCCACCTACAACGAGCGCGAGAACCTGCCGCTCATCGTATGGCTGCTGGTGAAAAGCTTCACGGAGAGGTAGCATGCCCTGCCCGGGGAAGGAGATGAGCTGGCTTCCCGGCCTGGTGGCCTGCCGGCAGTTGGCTGCGCTAGGCGGCCCTGCGGGGTCGGTCTGCGGCTGCGGGGGGAAGTCGTGGGGAGGGGGCCACTCTGCGGGGGACGCCGAGGCGGATTCTTCAGGGGTTCAGTCCGTGTCTCGGTTCTCCTTGCTGCCCTTGGGTTTTGCGAGACAGCCTTTTATCTTTAATGTACACTGCCCCCCCCCCCCATCGGTCACTGCCTTTTTTTCAAAAGGACTGATTCCTTCACCGAGGGCGAGGCTGTGAGCCTGACCTCACTCCGCCGTCTAGGTGGTCGGGATCGGCGGCGGGAGCCGGGAGTCTGAGCGAATGCACGCACTCCCGCCCGGGTGCCCAGTGCTTATGTAAGCATGAGGTTGGGTGTCTGCTGCTGGGCCGGCAGAAGGGCAGCTTCGCTGATCATTGGGGATGTTGTTGTGGTCGTTAGAACCTGGGGCCTGCAGTTTGAATTTGAAAGCGTTTATACAAAAAAAAAAAGGACTTTGGTAAATTTTGGTGTCGGTGCAAAGCAACTCGTTTCTATGATTACAAGGGTGGGACTGTGTTGTAGAAATTGTGATGATCCCATGTCATCAGCACCTACAAACTTAGCAAATTATTTTGAAAGCTAAGTAATATTCCATATGGAATATTTTATCTAACTGGGTCGTGTCAACGAACACAGATTCTTTTCAAAGATTTTTTTTTTTACTTCTGCTTCACAAATGAGAATGGGGACTTTGTTCACACCAGTTTCCCGCATTTTGAAAAGTGCTCGACACATAGCGAGTGCTCCTCTATTAGGTGAATGTTGCAACAAGCACTCGTACTGTTCCTGGCACATTGGGATGAAGTCTTCGCGGTGATATTGTTGGATCAACAGTGGTGTGCTAGAAGTTGATAGTTATTGCCAAATTGTTCTTAAAAAACGATTGTGCCAGTTTACGACTCCGCAGCGCTCTTCAGAGAGTGCCTGTTACCCTACAGCCAGTCAACCTGAGTATCCGGAAACTTCCATCATTTGAAATGCTAGTTGGTGAAAAGTATTGCTGGGTTTTTTATTTTTTCAGCTGCACCATTATATTATTTTACTTTATTTTTCAATTACAGTTTATACTCAGTTATTTTTGTATTAGTTTCAGGTTTATATCATAGTGGTTAAGAAATAAACATTGCCATTCTGGGGTTTTTTGTTGTTTTTTTTTAATGAGATAACTATCTTAACATAGAAAGCTCTTCAAATTTTTTATTCATCTCTTTTTATATTATCTTTTTATTTTGATTTCTACAAGCTCTTTCCAACTTAGAGAAATTGTCATGTAGCTGGTCTTGCTCCTGTTTGTTTTCTGATTATACAGTATTTTTGCTTCATTTTAACATTTTTGTAGTGCAGTTTATCTTTTTATAGTCTGGGTGGATTTTTTAAATCAAAATGAAGATTAAGGAAGGAACAACTGTTTTCTTGTCAGATGCAGTCACATTACCTTATTGATGTCTGATCGGCTTGATGCCTTTAAGCAACCTCACCCTCTGGTGGTAAGGGTGCTTTGAAGTGGGAAAGAATGATTTTGCTTACGAAGTATAGCTCTTTCATCACAACAACTAGAATCCACATCTTACATGTTCTGGCATGTAAAGCACACGCCCAAATGTAAGGCACAGCTGGGAAGCTGGAGTCACCCTACCTTCTGGTAGAGAATAGATAGGCTGAGTTTTGCTTTCTGGCAGGTTCGCTGGGGCTGACTTTCTTAAGCCTTCGGCGGAGTGTGTTTTCTGGTTGCACCTTCCTTGCATGTTTCCTGAAGTAGGACCAAGAAGAAACAGAATGTTGTGTGGGAGAGAGTTTGGCTGTACCTCGTTTTCTTTCCGCTTAAGTTTCCCAATAAGGTTAACAAAAAATGTTTTTTTCAGGGAGTAGGGGCAGGCATGCCAGTGTCTCAGGGACATCCAAGTATGGGCTTGTTCGTAGAATAGAAACTATGTGGTAAAGAAGATGGAGAACAGCAGAGAGATGCTAATTTGGAAGCATATTGAACTCTCGTAGTTCTGTACCACTTCTTTTTACTTGATAGTGTGGGATAATGGGTACAATGATTTGAAATAGTGGTGTCAAAGGTTGTACTCTTCTAAAGTGGGGTTTTTTAAGGGTGAAATTAAGTTGGATTTGCTCCTGATTGTGTTCTTTAAATCATTTGGGAATTAAAAAGAATAATCACTCAGAGCTGCTCAGTCATTTTGAGTTGTCTTTTAAGGATACTTTTGAAATAGCATAAATAAGGTTATTACTAAGATTCCACAGTTCTATTTCCAAAGCAAGTAAAACTTCATATGATATCCAGTCATATATATTACATATATAAATCACTAGGTTTTTTTTTTTAACTGAAAAGTGTGGTTTCCATCAGAATATTTTAACATCTTAGGACTTTATAATAGCATTTCCAGCAACATGCTGAGTTTGGAGGTGACATACTGAATATTTGACATTTCATTTGTTAGTTGACGTTTTCCTTGATGATTAATATGGAAATATATTTCCACTACTGGTTAAGAATTAGTAGTTTTAAAATTAATTTTTTAATTTGACAGTACTGGATTCAAACAATGCAAATTCCATTTGTTTTTCATTTTAGTGAAATCAACTATGAAATTATCATCATAGACGACGGAAGCCCAGATGGAACAAGGGACGTTGCCGAGCAGTTGGAGAAGATCTATGGTTCAGACAAAATTGTAAGTCACGTGAATTTTTTTCCGTCTTGCAGTCTCGGTTTTTTGTAGGGGAAGGATGAGAGATGAACGGTGCTCAAGTTCAGTCCTGAACGGTCCAGGAAGACAAAGAGCAACTTAGACAGTTGGGGTTTCGGTGCATTTCCGTTGTGCTTGAGGTTTCACATCTTTCTGATGTGTTGGGTCAGTAGTGGTAGAGCAAAATAGTCTTGGGATGAACTGTTTTTATGACTCATCCTGCAGACAAATTTTCTGGAAGGACGAAATTAAAGCATGACATTGACTTGACAAGGTAATAGAATGAGGCTGCGGTTGGTGTGTGTCTTGGTCTTTCCTGCTGCTCCCTTTTTCGGGGTGGCCTCGTGCTTTTGGGAGCAAATACTGCCTGCAGGTGAAAGCTTGTAACAGAGGAAAGTGGCTCTTTTCCTGGGGACTAGGAATGGCTTTTCAGGGGACTTGGAATTTTTATGTTTATTTTTACTGGTAGAATAGTCTTGTGGGAGTAGGTTGACTTTCTGAGTCTTAAACTTTAGATTTTTCCACCACCTCGACGCCTGTTCTTCTTTGGGAGTAAGTTAGGCAGATGTAGTGTTCATTTTATAATAGTTTCATTCCCTTGGTTTCATTATATATGTGGCTTCATATGTACATGAGTACCTAAATATGGCTTCTTATATATGTGAATACATGTATGTATGTGTTTTTAGTCACTGGCTTGGATTTTAATATGTTTGAGAATATTAGTGAGCTTGACTTCAGCTCATTCTTGGGCCAAAGCATACAGTTAAGTCCATGTCTAATTAGAAGACACATTTGAAGCGTACGGCATTGTGACTCACATAGACCAGAGTTGCTCAGCCTTGGCACTGTGGACATTTGGGGCCCAGCGTTCCTTGCTCTGAGAGGCTGTTCTCTGTGTTGTGGGATGTTTGGCATCAACGCTGGTCTCTAGCCACCCTCCTTCCTGGAGCGGCAACCAAGAATGTCTCAGGACTTTCTCAGATGTCCCCTTAGGGGCAAAATTGTCCCCTCCTCCCAACAAAGAACCAGGGGGTAGACATAAAGAAGTCTCTTGGAGAACCTTTATTGATATTTGCATTTCAAGAAATGGCACTTGCATCATAAAAAATAGTCACTGGGTCCCAGCATTCTTGATTAGTCTAAATTAATTTGTTTCATGGGAGGAGATCTTGGTTGGTGGGAAGAGTTGAGGGAGCTGTGTTTCTGGTTACATGCGTGGCAAACCTGTCCTGTAGCCAGGACTCTTGGTCTCTCACAGATCGGTCACTCCTCCAGCCTCCCCAGTACCTTCCGCTGAGGAGGGAGGACAAAGGGAGGTGACAACTGGCAGATTTTCAGCCTTCCAGCAGTGACTTCAGTGATGGTTCATGGTTTTGGCAACAGTTCCCTGGCTTCTCCTTCAGAGCCTCTGGGCCACGGCCAGTGGGGCACGCTTGTCACCCACAGAGTGCTCTGAAGCTGCATGCTGCTGTTTAATCTGGGGGCATCAGCCTGGCCATATTTTGAATATTTATGTCATAGAAGCTTAGCCTTGAGATATAATTGATTGATGAATTAGTAGGGACTGCCCACTAAATTGACCTTCGCAAATTCTAAAACAACATTTTTATTTGCCCCATCATTTTCCCCATCAACCCAATAAAATTCAAATGAATAAGGAAAAAATTTGCATTTACTGTGGTGATTTTCCTATAGTACCAGGGCAATTCCCTATTCACTCATTATTTTATTACTCTTTATTTTTTAAGGTTTTTTACTTATTTATTTTTAGAGAGGGGAAGGGAGGGGAAAAGAGGGAGAGAAACATCCATGTGTGGTTGCCTATTGCATGCCCCCTACTGGGGACCTGGCCCACAACCCAGACATGTGCCCTGACTGGGAATTGAACCAGTGACTCTTTGGTGCACAGGCCAGCACTCAGTGCACTGAGCCACACCTGCCAGGGCTGACCTTTGAATCACTTAAACTGGAAACCGTTTTTTCAGGGTGAGGCCTTGCCAGGGCTGGCACTTACTTGCTTTTAAGTGACTCATGCGTGTTTAGTTGAGGGGAAAGATGGATAAAAATGATTATTTTTCTCAGATAAAGTGGTTCAGCCCAGATACTTGTCAGCTAGCCTGTCAAACTAGTTAAAATGAATGTTTCAGGAAAAAGCCAAGGCAGATTTTTTAAAAATAAAACAAACAAACTCTGTAATGAGGAAACAGACAAGAGGGCTAATTCACTTCCCGAGACTGCACGGCTAACTCATAAAGGGCAGAGGTGGGACTGTAGAAAAATCAGGAATATATGATCTGAACTGCTAACCGGGGTACAGGGCAGGGAGACCTGGGACTGTGGAGGGCTCCACCCTCTCCGTGTTGAATGCCTCCGTTGTGTGGGGTTCGCTTCACCCCCCGACCTGAAGTCAGCAGCAGCCAGCAGTTCTGTGCAAATTACTCTGCTGATACCACTCAGGCACTAAGGGCCGAAAAGACAAAGGGACAAAGAATGCAATAGCACCAGGGGCCGTAACCGGCTGGTGGTCGGGCACTGTCCCCGGTTTGATGCTCATCTCAGTTGTCGTCCTGGCCGTCACCAAGAAAAGTAAGGAACAGAGGCCGTCACTGACTAGAAGGCTGTGCTGTGCTTCTTAAGGGCTGTGAGGTCGGTCATAGGCCACAGCACGAAGGAACAAGAAGACGGACCTGGTTTTTGCTCGCATCTGCGTCCGTACAGTACGATGTGTTCATTACTTTAGAAACATCAAACATAACTGTATAGGATTGAGAGGTCTAAGTTATTACAATAAAATATTTTGGTCATCCCCAAGTACCAAATTTTCTCTAACAAAAATATCAAGTGTACAAATATAGATAATTCATGAAACAAAAAACACACACAGCCAAAAAGTTGGTGTGGGGGTGTGGGGTTCAACGATAAGGACTGCAAAGGAGGAGCAGAGCACAGTTGGGCTTGGGGAAGGCCCCAGTGCCTGCGGGGGGAAAACTGGGAAACCAGGGACCGCGCCTCCAGGGTGGCCTCTCCTCCCCTGGCCTTTCCTCTGCAGAGTGAACGTCTAGGCTTCAGTTTTTTCAGCTCCAGGCCCAGAAAAGCGGCGAAACCAGGTAGGCCATGCCAGGACCAACAGCAGTGACTAAAGACCCCTGCCCGGTCACCGACCAGTCAGCAGAGACCATGACCCTGAAAAGGCACACCTGGAGAACTGATGCTTATGCTGCTGAGACTTCCCCTAAGATTCCCACCTTCGAGAGAGAGAAAAGCCTCGAGACAAAGAACCCAGCGCGAGCCTTCTCTCTCAGGGGAGCAGCCCACGCCGTTTTCTTTTCCTCCTTCTGCCCCCACAGGCAGGTGTCTCCTAAACTCTAAGGCACAGGTGGCAAACACAAGGCCCACTGTCCAAATCCTGCCCTCCACCTTGTTTTATCTGTTTCTACCCGGCGGCAGAGCTGAGCTCCTTGCCCCTAATTAAGGAATAGTTCCATTTATACAGTCCTAACATTACATTCGGCCCTTTGAAGGCAACCGCAAGGCTGATGTGGCCCCCAGTGGAAATGAGTTTTGACACCCCTGCTCTAATTGTCCCAGGCTAATCCCCTGAACGCATCCCCAAAGCCCCCTTTTCTCTGACTTCCAAGTGTGCTAATAAGGCAGCCCAGCCTTATGCTGCTTCTTTTACTCGAAGCCCCTCCTTGTTTCACGGTCCCCAGCTTTAATGAACGCATCCTCCTAGTCACCCGGACTCACGTTGTGAAATCCTTCCTACATGGAGTCAAGAACCCACGCGCTACAGTCGGCCAGAGGCAGACCAGCTCAGGGTCAGGCCCCGTCCGGTAACAATCGCTGCTCCTTCTCACAACAGCTGGGCCAGGCCAGGTGGGCTCTGCTGTGAGTGTCCACTGCCTGGGCCACACAGCGCACTAGCAGGGTGGCTCCGGGGGTGGCGGCCCAGGAAGGAGAGGAACCGAGGGGCTGAAGGTGAAGCACACTAAATGAAGCAATCTGAACTTGTCATTACACAAGAAATGAACAAGCGCATTCCTGGTATACAGTGTAAATGGCACCGATGAAACCGAGATGGACCAGGAGCAGCTTTCCTGGGGAAGCGTCGCAGTGCCTCCCGGGGTGAAGCCCAGCAGCGGTCGGCGCATGCTGCCGTTCTGCGTGGGTGTGCGTGTGTCCCCCTCTTAGAGCTAGGTGTCGTGCTCGTGTTTATGCTTTTAAATATGAACGTAGCCTTTCCGTACCGTGGTTACTTTCTAGTGTCCAGGAGACTTTTTGTCACCGAAAGGCCTCATTCTTTTAGCTGCCCCGTAGTCCTGTCGTATGCAACATACCTGACAGTTTGTGAACTTCCAAATGTTCTAAACCTTGTAAATAATAAAATTATTTTTTATTTGAAGCACAAACTTTCCCAGCTGAAACATAGGGTTATGGGAAATCTAAGGTGAACTTTAAAAGTTTGGCTTTTTCAGGGCCAAGATCAGAGGGGCTCAGTATTTTGTCACTGTGACAAAGTCAAGTAAAATCTGACATACCTTGTTTGACTCTGCTCAGTGAATTGTGATTACAGGGGATTGACTGTCTTGCTGTCCAGCAGGAATATATTTTATCTATATTTCTTCCTCTTCTCCCCCCAAGGCCTAGAGCAGCGTACGTGTAGTACAAAAATTTATCCAGGGTGACTGGGACTGAAAAGACTTTGTTTAGAGATCCGTGGTCTGGGGCACCCGCTTGTACACTAGCAAAGGATGAGAAAAGTGGTGTTGGGTCTGCCCGAGCTGTTCATCCCAGAACCTTACAACAGAGTCGAAAGCTTGGTGTTCTACCCTTTCAAGAGTTTTCAGATAAAAAGAAACATCAACTAAGTTAGGGTTTATATATAAAATAAAAAATGTAGGAAGACTAAGTAATTGAAAAAACTGTAAGAAAAGAGAACCTACAACCTTCTCGCCATTGGCGCATAGAGAATGAGATGGGATCATTGAAGCATGAAGTTGGGATAAGTTGTTGGAGGAAGAACGATACAGACATTTAAAATCACAGAGGGGATCAAAAAAGCAAACCGGGCCACCGAATGTTCCAAAAACGCATAGAGTAAGTGAGACCCGCAGTTTTCCTGGGAGGGCATTAATAATGTTCACAATGATAAATCAACGTAAAAACATTGTTTACAGAGTTTCCTGGATAGCACCAAAAAAATTTCTCTGTAAATTTGGCTTTTATTTTGAGGTTGAGCTGAAAAAAAGTTGCTTTCCCTTAAAAGCTGTTAAACTAATTTGATTACTAAATGCTTTTTTTAGTTTGGCAAACAAATGTTAAATATACTCTGCTCTAAGGTCTAAGAAATGCAGCTATATTTCTGTTAAAATGAATAGCACTTATATGAATAAAAAAATAATTTTAATAGACTTTTTATCATTTGTACCAAAATGTTGTTTCTTATCCTTACAGCTTCTGAGGCCCCGGGAGAAAAAGTTGGGACTAGGTGAGCCTCTCACCCCTTACACCTGCCTCTTGCCTGGGGAAGTTTGTTCAGCGTTTTCCTATTTTGGAGCAGGACGGAAATAACAGCAACCTCCTTTGATGGTTCTCAGTGATCTTAATGACATTTCAGTGGCTTGAGTTGCCCATATCAGTCAAGGCCTACTCGGGAAAACACTGTATGTAACCTTTGCAGCATGGAGAACTTAACCCAGAGAATCTGGTTACATGGGTGAAGGGACTGCTGAGAAGCCAAACAAAACAGTGAGGCTACTCAGACATTACCCAAAGATGGAGCAACAATAGGAGGTGTTGGTTTTAGAATCCAGGAACCAACCCAGGCTGCCCAGAGGGAGCTAGAATTGATGGTGCTGGGCTACCTGGCGGGAGTTGGAGCCATTGAGGATACACAGTCAGCGCTGGGAGGCAGAGCAAGAGAGGGAGGCTACCCAGACGTTCCCCTCCTCCCCCTCCCCCTCCCATAGCTATATGGAAGCCAGCTGACAAGAGAGCCTGGGAAAGAAATGCCCTGCGATGCTGGGAAATGTTAAGTTGTAAGTCTTAAAAGGGTATTCTTATGTATTAAAGAGAGAGCTTTTCTAGCTTTTAAACATAAAGAAAATCTCAACTGAGCTGATCCATTCTGAGACAACCTAAAGGCCCTTATTTCTGTTGTTAGTCACAGTTGCTTATGTTGAGAATTGGTATAATTTTACTGAAAAACGGGGAGCACAGGGGAAGCACAGTTCTGAAAATGTGGATGTCTGGTGTCCTGACATCTGTTAGGTAGCTGGCCTCATCAGATGTTCTGAATACCCCCATGCCTGAGTCCAGAAGGTCGTTTGGGATTGAAGGAATTTGGACACAGCCATGGACGTGACCAAGGATTACTAATAAGTCCGAGGTGTTTTCAGAAAGCTGCTACGGTCACTTCTGAACACAATAAGGCAGAAGAAGTCAGTCTTGCTAGTGAGACACTGAGGGGCTGGGGTCAGAGCGTGCAGAAATAAGTAATTGATAGCTGTGCCTTTGGCCCCCAGTAGCAGAGCAGGGCTCTAGTGCTCCAGGCTGCCCCTGGGGTAGAAGATACTGACAGGGTGGGTAGCGTCCGTGGAAATGGGCAGGAGAGATGGGGAGAGCGGAAGTGGGGACACTTGGTAGGGAGAGATCATCAGAAGATGGTGCCTGGGACTAAGGGGAAGGTGGGGACAGAGAATGGAATTGAGAGATGTGTTTGATTGAGAATAAAACTATTTAATTATAGTTCAGGATCACCTTTAGAAGACTAACTGTACTTTTCAGTGCTTAATAATTTCTTCTCTGTTCAAATGTATATGTAAACATTTTCAGTGATTTTCTTTAATGGAGATCAATATTTTCATTTTTAGGAACTGCATATATTCATGGAATGAAGCATGCCACAGGAAATTACATAATTATTATGGATGCTGATCTCTCACACCACGTAAGTGGTGTATTTCTTTATTAGTAATTTATCGTTGTCTTAATCTGTTTTACTGACTTACTCTTTATTTTTTCTAAATTTCAGCCAAAATTTATTCCTGAATTCATTAGGTAGGTAATTCTAATATTTGGAAAAAATGTCCAATTCAAATCATTTATCTTATATTGATTTTGGACTTATTTTCACTCATTTCTTTTAAAGATCTTATTTATTTATTTTTAGAGAGAGGGGAAGGGAAGGAGAAAGAGAGAAACATCGATGTGTGGTTGCCTCTGGAACGTCCCCTACTGGGGACCTGGCCCGCAACCCAGGCATGTGCCCTGACTGGGAATCGAACTGCGACCTTTTGTTTTGCAGCCCGTGCTCAAGCCACTGAGCTGTACCAGCCAGGGCTTATTTTCATTCTTTATTCTTCATTAATTAAAAACGAACATGCTATTTTATTTGCTATCAGAAATAAAATGTATAGACTTTGAATCTCAAACTCACAAGTATTTAAGATGTGGGACTAAATGGTGTGTTTTCGGAACCCTGAGGGACAGATAATTCCTTTACCTAGATTATTCCAGACATAAAAAGATAGCAGGTGACTTCCTGTTACGTGGAATTGAGACCTGCATCATAAGGGTAAAGCGCCATGACCAGATAGGGTGTACTCCAGGAATGCCAGAGTTGTTCATCTTCAGGAACTCATCAACCTAATTTATCACGCTAACAAAGAAAGCAGTGTGATCAAGTCTGTCGATGCCAAAAGGTATTTGATCAAATTCACTAGCTATTTCCAGTAAAAACTTTAAAATAGAAATAGAGGAAACTATTCAACACAATAAAGATAACCCAGTCCTAATATAAACATTTCGCTAAATGGTGAAAGACGGAATCATTTCTAATAAATTCATCAAGATAGGCGTACCAGCTACCATTAAACATGGCGATTTTAAGTAGTAAGACAATCTAGTACAAATATCGATAAGGATACAAAAATTATATTGCAGGTGCTATAATTATATTCCTAGGAAACCAAGAGGCCACAGAACCTTCCTCTCAATAAAAATTTGGGAACTGATTTGAATATAAGCTAAATACACAAAAACAAAGTCAAATCATGTCACTCCACTGTTTAGAATAGTTCATTAACACATGGGGAAAAAATCCACACTGCTTTTCTTTGCCCTTGAAACTGCCCTGTGATCTGGCCCCCGCCTCCCTTTCCGAACTTGCCTTGCTTCTCTCCCCTCGGCACTCTCTGCTGCTGCTCTCTATGCTGCGGGCTCACTCTTCCCATTTCTAGTTCACCCGAAGTGCTGTGTCCCCTCTGCCTGCTCCCTGGTGGCCCAGAATTTTTTGTCTTTTGATCTCTGCGCAGAGATAATTCACCTCTGTGTATATTTCCAGTACACAAAGCCTCTTTGACTTGTTAAGGAAATAGAACCAGGGGAATAGAAAACGGGCGAGATACAAACAGGCCATCTGTAGGAGAAATCCAAATGGCTAATAAACCTAAGAGAAGATCGTCACCATGGGATGTCGTCAGGGCGATGCACATTAAATATAATTGCACGTTATTATGACCCATTAGTTTATCAAAATTAAAAGCATCCAGCACCCTGGCCAGGCTGCTCAGTGGTTGGAACATCGTCCCGTACACCAAAATGTTGGGGGTTTGATTCCTTTTCAGGGCACTTACCTAGGTTGCGGGTTCGATCCCCTGTAAGGGTGCATACAGGAGGCAACTGATGGATGTTTCTCATATTGATGTCTCTCTCTCCCCTACCCCCTCTGAAAACCTATCCTCAGGTGAGGAATTAAAAAAAAATCCAGCAATACATCCAGCACCAGTAAGATTGTAGAAAATGAGCACACTCAAATACTGCGAGGAAGTAAGTTGCTAAAACCTTTTAGAAAGTAATTTCTGAGATCTGTCAGAACTGTTTTACGCCCTGCCATGCTCTACTGCAGGTGGTCTGAGCACCAGGACGCACACTTAGGAGGGTGCTGCCGCACAACTCACTGCGGCTGTGTTCCTGGAAGGGGGCGCCCACCTCGGAAACAAGCATAGGAGAGCATGGGTCCAGTGTTCTGCAGAGTATTTCCGCAGCTTTTGAAAAAGAGGAGGGAGAGCCTCTGTTGTCCTGCAGGGCAGGGTGTCAAACTCATCTTTGCTGGGGACCACATGAGCCTTGAGGTTGCCTTCAAAGGGCCGAATGTAATCTCAGCTCCTTAACAGTTAAGGAGTAGCTACATTTACACAGTCCTAAAATTATTTCGGCCCTTTGAAGGCAACTGTGAGGCTGATGTGGCCCCCAGTAAAAATAAATTTGACACCCCTGCTAGGGATCTCCATGATTCCATGTGTATTATTTACTGATAGAAAGCAAGTTAAAAATGTACTGTTTTTGGATTCCAGTTTTGTAAAAGCGACCTAAAACCCTAGAGGTGTGCTCATTTTTTGAGTTCTTATAAACAAAGAGGTCTAGAAGGTTACCAGGCTGTTTTAGTATTGCTCACTTCAGGGAAATTTAATTTCAGTCCTACATTTTAGGGTGGTTTCCCATGGTGCAGTCAGCAAATGTACTGTTAAGTATTAATAAAGGGAAACAGGTTTGAGCTTCACTTGGAAAGATCATGCGGCAGTATAGTTCCTCTGCTTTCTTGGCATTTTTATTTTCTAGCTGTAAGTCTTAGAAGTCTTGTTTGTGTGGCTCTGGAAAATAACTATTGAAAGCTCAATAGCTTTCTCTGATTAACAGCTAATTTATTTGTTCTACAGGAAGCAAAAGGAAGGTAATTTTGACATTGTCTCTGGAACTCGCTACAAGGGAAATGGCGGTGTTTATGGCTGGGATTTGAAAAGAAAATTAATCAGGTAAATAAAATACTTGTGCTATGTATGATTTCTCTTTTTTAGTGTAACTACTATACTGTAAATATGCTTAAAACTGGTATTTAGATTAAATTACCATGCTGCCTTGGGATTTGTGGGATCAGAGTACAACACCCAGTAAATATTTCCATGCAGCTTCTTACCTACAATTTTTCCTATGATTATAGTATTTTATTTTGGATATTTTTCATTAAGGAAAAATCAGCATAAAGCTTTGAACCTGTGGTAAAAATGGTGTGATTGAGCCCAAATTTATTCTATCGGACCTTCAGCTTTGATTTTAAGTGAGCTATTTATGTATATTTTGGCACTATGTAGGTAGTTTTTTCCATCTGTATTTTTTATTATTTTTAAGTATGTAAAACACTTTATGATTTCAACTTTTATAAAGTAGTGAGGCTTTGGAGTCAGGGGGTTAAAATCCTGATTGTTTCATTTACTTACCTGTGTCACTTTGCATGTTTTACCTTTTCTAAGCATTTCTTTCCTCGTCATAAAATGGAAATAAATCTGCTGTTTCAGTTTCTTCTTGCTGTATAACAAACCACTCCAAGGCTTAGTGACTTAAGTAAAACAACTGCTTACAGTTGCCCCTGGCTCTGGAAGTGGCCGGTGGTTCTGCTGGTTCCCCTGGGCTCCTCCTCACAGCGCCCCAGCTGGAGAGCCAGCTGTGCTGGAAGGCCCGAGATGTCCTCACTCAGCCAGTAGTCGGAGCCGGTTGGCGGCTTGGCCCTCTTGGTTCTGCATTTGGTGCTTCACCTTCTGGAAAGCGAGGCCGGCTTCTTTAAGTGGCATCTTAAGGGCAGTGTGCAGGTCACCAGTTTGATTCTCAGCCAGGGCACATGCCTGGGTTGCAGGCTGGGCCCCCATTTGGGGGCCTGTGGGAGGCAGCCACACATTGATGCTTCTCTCCCTGTCTTTCTCCCACCCTTCCATTCTCTCTTAAAAAAAATCTTTTTAAGAAAATAAAAATACATGAAACAGATGGACAAATACATACACATGCACTCACATTCCTTAGATTACACACATTTTAGGTGTTAATGTCCTGGATTTTTATTTTTATTTCATTTTATTTTTTTGGTAGCCTTTAGGAGCAAATTGAAGGGGGAAAAGTTTTTGTTAGCCATTATCCCAGCTATATCCCTAATGATGTTGTTTATGTAAAAATAAACAGGGCCTTGGTGGTTACCTTGGCCCTGGAAACTTTCTCCCCTGGGAACTTTTCTGAATCTGAGCACAATAAAACAGCTGCAATACCCAAGTCCTTCTCCAAGAGCAGGTCACACCTTTTTGAAATGTTAATAATAGCTATTGGTCAGTAATAGCTTGTAATTGGTTGATACTTAGTTGAGTTTACAAGCCCTGAGCCGTTGTTAGGGCCTCTAAAAGTTCCTGTTAGAGGCCTTACCCCAAGAGTGGTGGAGGCCACTGGGTGTGGATGAGGTCCTGAGAGTGGGGCGGGGCTGGCAGCATTCCTGCCCCTCGAAGAGAGACAGAGCTTGAGTCTACTCGTCAGCCCCACCCTCCCCCTCAGGAGGCACAGCTAGAAGGCAGCCACAGTGAGCAAGGAAGATTTTCTTCGGTGTCTCAGCCTTTCTGGCCCCCAGGGATGTGGAGAGGAAGTGTCTGCTAAGCCACCATGTCTAGTATCTTGTTATGGCAGCCCAAGCAGACTAAGACAGATCTCTTTTCACTGACTAAAGATTTCTTTGTCCTATAAAATTAATATTTTTGTAAACTTGTGGTACATTTATTTATGAAACTGCTGTAGCATTTTTAGTACTTTGCTCTTGGATGTCTTTCTCTTGCTTAGAAACGATTTTATAAAGAAAATCTGTTTTATTTGACAGCCGTGGGGCCAATTTTATAACTCAGATTTTGCTGAGACCCGGAGCATCTGATTTAACAGGAAGTTTCAGGTACAGTGAAAACTGTAACTTTCTATTTCTACTATTTATAACTGCTTGCCTAAATTTCTTGCTTTACAATGGCTTACTTTAAAAGAAATGCTTTTCATTTCTACCCTATTTTTGTTCTGGAACACTAAAAAGGGTGAAGTTCCTTAGAAGCTGCTAATAAAACCTAAGCATCTTCACAAAAATACTGTGCTTCTTCATTTTAAAGAGGAGCCAAGGCGTGGCTCAGGTCGGTGTGCTTGTTTGCGTTAGTATCAGTGTCCAGCCCGAGAGGCCCAAGGTGCCCCCTCACTGCTCGCTCTGAACACTGTCGCCGGGTGGTGCTCTGGAGGCCGCCGCTTCTTCCAGAGGTCTCTGCCATTCCCATGGACATCTGCCACGGTGGCCCCAGAAAAGTTTAAAATCTGCACTGCTTATGCAGAGCCATCTGTCACCTTGCTCTCCATGTGTGTTTTATAAAAATTCTTACGTGATGGGTGCAGAGCCTCCTGCTAGGTCCCTTGGGGGTTCTGTTTTTGTTTATTGGGGGGGGCGGTGCAGCAGGGTATGTATGTGTTTAATTTTAGATTTGCTGCGGTTGAGGAATTGTTTTATATGACCACGCCAAAAGATTAGAGCCTGCCAGATTTTTTTTAAATCTCTGAAACTGTAAGATGCCTGTTTATTATCTTTTAAGGCCCAAACCCCGTGCATTAGTTAATAATTTATATTACTTGATATCTACTTTTTCCATTAAATAATGTTGATTTTTGATCCTTTGTTAGAATTCACACACACCGTTGGGAGCTGGCTATTGGAGGCAACCGGTGCCCGTAGCATGACTGCGAGTCTAGAGCAAATCAGTTCAGGGACAGTAAGGCCGAGAGGGTTGGAAGGAACATTTCTTTTTTGTGTCCTTAGTTGGTAAAATAAAAATGGTCATGAGGCCAGGGCAACTGCCCCCTCTTCCCCACCCTCACCCCCAAAAATGAAGAGTGGAGCCATCACAAATTAGAGGTTAAATAATGAAAATGAAGCCTCTCTAGAATTAAAACGTAGTGATTAGAAAGCAGAATTTGGTTTATAAAAGACAGACGGAGCCTGTAAATGTTTCCCTTTTGTTCTTCGCTTCAAGGCAGAGGAATAACGTGTTACCTGAGTGCTGTGCAGCTACGGTGCACAGAGCAGCGGCACTCACAGAATCTCTGCAGCCAGAGGGCCCCTGTGGACTTCATGGGCCACAGGCGTGATGACTTGGAAGACCCAGGGTGGCTGCAAGGGTTGTGGCGATAGGGGCTTTGTTTTTCAGCCTGCTTCCCCTGTTGAAAGCTCTGCAGGTGCTTTCCAAAGAGCTAAAAGGTGATTCGTTTTAGAGTCGGCCAGTATTTATTGCATGCCCAGCACTGGACAAGAGTCAAAGTCCCTGTCCTCGTGGCATTGACACATTCTGATGGGACAAGACGTACAACTACATAAAATAGGTGCAGCAGCAGCACATGGGGACACTGCCGTTTAGAAAAACGGCAGAGAACGGGTGGTGCCGCTGCACTGCTACCAGATATTAGGCAGGGGCGAGGACCAGGGGTGGCCTGGAGCTCCGGGGGTTTCTCAGCGAGAGCAGCGATTGGGTGTGTCCTCTGCAAACTTCAGAGCAGACAGAGCAGACACAGGTACACGCACAAGTGAGCCCATCAGTTTCACTACTTTTAAATAGTTCATTGTCTCTTCCAAGAGTAGTGACTTGTTAAATGCATGCTTTATTAAAGTTCAACTTCTCCTTAAAGTTTGTTAATTGTCACTAGATTTCCCAGTATTTAGGGGCCCTGTGCCTTTTACAAAATAAGTGGAAACTCAAAAAGACTGCAACTTGAGGTTAACCACACCTCCCCGCCTTGGGCATTGCAAATCCAGGTGGCCTTTACCTGGGAAGAGAACGTAGTTAGGCCAAACTGCCTCCCCTAACTTGTTCCAAAAAGACCAAGAGAAATTGCTGCCTGCTTTCTCAACGGAGACTGTGGGGTGGGGAGGAGTGTTTGTTCGTTCACCTCAGTGACTGCAAACAGGGAGCTCCTCAAGAAAGCCACTGGGTTCTCTCACTGGACTTGCCGCTCCGGTCTGCCTCTGTAAATGCGGTGAGCTTTGTGTTGGACCGGCAGTCTACCTGAAGTTAGAGCGCAGCCACTCAAACGTTTTAGGTACCTAACGGTGACATCAGGCGGTGATAGCCGTGTCCCACCAGGAGTGCCCGAGTCCTGTGATGCCTGGTTCCTGTCTTCACCTAGCTTACCCAAGCACATCCTGGGGGAGCTAGTGTATCCCAGGGAATTTATTTAGTGGATCTGCAGAAAAAGATGCTTGTCACAAATATTTATGAGGAAATGCTTGTTAATTACTAGGTTCTTCTTGTCATCTACTATATATTGTTGCTTCATTACCTATCAACTCTCTTGTTATGTTATTTGGAACCATTTCTATTCTTTCAACTTTAAAAGTAAATTTTAAGAAAATTTAAAAAGTAAAACAATAGGTGCTTCTGCTTTGAATGATTCACCTTACTATATTTTTATAATTTCTGATAGTACAGTAAGAGAATAGTTCTATAAACAGTACTAAGAATTCGCCCCCACTGGTGTGGCTCAGTGGACAGAGTGCCAGTCTGTGAATAAAAGGGTTGCCTTTTGATTCCCAGTCAGAGCACATGCCTGGGTTGCTGGCCAGGTCCCCCAGTAGGGAGCGGGCGAGAGGCAACCACACATGGATGTCTCCCTCTCTCCCTCCTTTCCCCTCTCTAAAAATAAAGAAAATATATTTTTAAATACTAAGAAATCATTTTTTAATTATTTACAAAATATTTCATGACCTTTCTGGTTCAAGACAAATGTAAAATCAACTGTGAGAACTTTTCTGTATACAGATGGCTAGTGAAAGTTTCAGGTTTTAGAAATACCAGTGAACTTTTTGAAAGGTAAGGATACATGCAGGCAAGTATATTTATCCAGGTGCTTATATATTTTTTAATTTTACACAGGTTATACCGAAAAGAAGTTCTACAGAAATTAATAGAAAAATGTGTTTCTAAAGGCTATGTCTTCCAGATGGAAATGATTGTTCGGGCAAGACAGCTGAATTATTCTGTTGGCGAGGTATGCAGCTGATGGTGAATAGTATGTGTATTCCTCATAAAGAAATAAGGTTTAGGTTTTTTATAATAAAAAGTTTAATTTTGATAATTACCAAATAAATGGGAAAGGCTTCCAGCTTTCTAGAATGCCCGTGCACTAGCGGGTGAAAATTCACATCCCTTTCACATTAATACATTTGACCTACCAAGATTTAAAACATCAGCCCTGGCTGGTGTGGCTCAGTGGATTGAATGCCGGCCTGCGACCAAAGGGTCAGTTCAGTTCCCAGTCAGGGCACACACCTGGGTTGCCGGCCAGGTCCACAGTAGGGGGCGCACGAGGGGCAACCACACATTGATGTTTCTCTCCCTCCCTGCTCCTCTCTCTAAAAATAAATAAAATCTTTAAAAGAAACAAACATTAACTGAAGGCAGCATTCCCTTTTAGACACTTGAAGTGACTGGTATGTCTCCATCCTTGCCCTTCTGACCACTCAGCATTCTGGGATGAGCCTGTTTCCTGCTTTTCCTCTTGCCATAGCCCAAAGCCACCCAACTTTAAAATGAATGATGAGTAGCCCATATCCTATGAGCAGATGAAAAGCTAAGAATTGTGGGTGGGGGTGCAGTCTGTAATATTCACAGCCTGCTAGTGAACTCTCTGGAAGACTCTTCCTTGTTTAACAGTAAGACTCTTATTCATAACAAGAAATGGCTAAATTTGACAGACTGGTGAAAAAAATTAAGTGAAAGGCCTTTTTACTTTTGGAGTATAATTTTTCCTTGAAATGGTGCAGTCTGAAACTTGAGTAAACCAACTTAATATGCAGGATCAATGCTTTTCAAACAGTTGTCAATTTGTTTATGTGTATAGCCTACTTGTGAACAATAAAGTGCTTGTTTAATTGTAAAGACTTGGAGGTACACACAGATGCTGTAAGAAATGGAGGAATCGCTTCATTCTGAAGGAATTGCTGTCATAGAACTAATCTTGTTACTATGGTGTTAGTAATTTTTGTATGCCTGCTATGCTTCCTTTTTCATGTTTTTGAAGACTGACTTAACGTGGTTTTTTTTTTTTTAACTATTAATAGGTTCCAATATCATTTGTGGATCGTGTTTACGGCGAATCCAAGTTGGGAGGAAATGAAATAGTCTCTTTCTTGAAAGGATTATTGACTCTTTTTGCTACTACGTAAAAGAAAGTTATTCATTTCTATTTATCATGTTCATTTCAAGTTGAACGTAAAGGAAGCCTGGTTGCTGATTTTTATGCAATGTACTCTTAGAACATAAATCATAGGTAAGGTGAATTTCATGCAAATCTCTTTTTCTGAAGAAATTCCATTTTGTATGTCAAATTCAATTAGAGAAATGAGCAGTGTTCTCAATTCTCTGTACCACTCTGCTGTATGAAGTAAGACCTATAAATAAACACACATGGGGTTTTGCATAAAACATTGCCGCCTTCCCATTAGAGTGTTTGAGTGCAGAGTTTCTCACATGAGGAAAACTGTGAAACACTCTCTGTAAAAACTGAACTGATAGCCCTTTGTACCTATTAGATGTTGGAAGAGGAATGCTAAATATAATCATACCGATGATTATATTTACATGACTTCATATACATTTACTTCATATACATGACTGTTCCTATATGAAGTGAAAAAGAAATACACGCCTTTGCCCTCTCTTTAAAAGTGTATCTCACATTTCTTAAATCAGGTTAAACAGCACACTTAAAGCACCGTTTTAGAGTTTGGTGCCATGTAGCTCTTGAACTGATGAAGCAGTTCCTCTGGCAAAGTGAGTCTCCTTAAAACACTGTCCGACTTGGGGACCCCGGGCAGCAGTTGAGAGCCCAGCTGCCTCCCCCTTCCACGCAGCGCCTGCTGCCAGTGGAGAAAAGTGCCGACATGGAAGCCAAACGTGGCCGTTCCAGCAGTTCTTAAACATCTTGCAAACTATATCAGTATTTTTCTCATATTTATATTTCATATAAATATGAAATATTTCTTTTCATATTATTTCAGGATCCTGAACAATGCATATATCTTTACTAATAAAATAAGATAAAAGTTCCTTTCCGATAGCTTTTTCTCTCTGTTTAGAAAAGTGTTCTTGATAGTTAAAATGCAAGTTAAGTTGTTCAGTCAAGCCAGTGCAAACATTCTGTTTACTTTGTTAAAGTAGGTAATTAAAAAAAAAATCAGTTTCTAACTATAACAAAGCTTTTGGATCATGTAGCATCTTTAAAAGGTTGGGGTAAGACATATGAGGATATAAGCTTAAGCTCCAGTTAACTTCCTTTCACAAGTAAAAGGAAGAGGCGTCTCTAAGTTGTTTACTAACCATTTAGTGAACAGTATTCCTGATTATTACATTTTCCTGGCTTGATTTGGTTGCTAAAGTCAAGAAAACCTCAAGTCTGACTCTCCCGTTTCTGTTCCTAGCAGATCCGACCAGAGTATTAAATGTTTGGTGGCATTTTGACATTGCCTGTTCCCACAGTTGAGTCCATAGGACACGGTACAAAAAGGGCCTCACTACCCCACCTCCCTTTTACATAGAGCTGTGCGGTGGCCCAGCAGGGACCCCCCTTCCTCAGATGGGGAAGCGACTTTTCCCATCTTCAGTAACTATGAAATTCATCATTGTTTGATGTAAAATTAGTTTTAAGCCAACCTAATAGAAATACAACACCCTTTTTATAAAGTGTTTAGAATATTATCCTTTTTCATGCAAACCTAAAGTTGTTTTCATAGTCAAGTATATGGAGCAGAGACAAAGTCACTGCCTCAGAGAACCCGCTGGTATTGCCTTCTCAGACCTCAACTGGAGCAGATACCTTTTGCCTTTTTAATCTTCTCAGTTTTTATTTCCACAGTCATGACTACACTGTAACTGTTGGAGTTTACAGTAAAGAAAGTGTTTAAGCAGTGAAGACTTTTCACATTTGGAAGTTATTTAGAAAAGAATCCAGGCTATTTAGATGCATTTTTGTAGTAAATGCAGTGACTTAAACACTAAAATCATTTACATGTGAATCCAGTACCCCTTTTTACTTTGTAAATGAGGCCAAGGATGAAATCCAGATGTTTTCCCTTTGTATTATCACTGTGTGAAATCTAAGTATATCTAAGGAAATCTACACTTAAGATAGAATTATTTTGTTTACTTCATATTAGCTTTCGCCTGTCTTCTGCAACATATAGTCGAATCATCTTTGTCTTTCTAAACCAGTGATTTTCAACCTTTTTTCATCTCATGGTATACATAAACTAATAACTGAATTTTGATTCATTCGCACCAGGCAGCTGTTGTTGTTTTGCCTGTTGTCTCCCCCCCCAACTTTGGACAATCTAAGGGGAAAGCGTGCCCCTGACTAAATAGATCCTGCACGTTTTTAGAATTCTTGCAGCACACTGGTTGAAAATCATGGTCTAAACCAAATGCTTTGCCCCCTCACTTTCTGTTTTCTTTGACAACTTTTTCAAACTATCGTTTTTCTTTGAGATACTGATTGGGCTTTTAAGGGTGTACTTTATCACAATTTCTGAAATTAATGAAATACTCTGTTGGATGAAACACCTTGTTAAATCTACTAACTGAAGGTTACATTGAGCAACATATAACCACAATTTGTACTATTTTCAATTAAGGTAAGATTCCTTCGGGGGTATTAAGTATAGTTTGAAACTGTTACCTTGAAATTTACAGTAACAGCAAAAGATAGTGTATTTACAGAATGTATCTTAAGAAAACAAGCTTGGTTAATGCCTCACAATTGGCATGTACTACTTTTCAGTATGTTGAGCCAGTGGTGTACTCTCAGATGTGTTCTATTAAAGGTGGGTTTTAAAATGTTGAGATATGTTGGCCGGGGTTGACCTAACTTGACCAAGGCGGTCTGCCCGTATGCAACATTTCTCATGCTTAGGCTTCACAAGTCCTCCACAAGTGGCTTCAACACCCTAGGGATCCCATTTGTTTTCTCCAGGCCAAACAGAGGAGGCCATCCCTGCCTTGGAAGAATGTCAAGTCCAGGGGCAACTATCCCCCCTCTGTAAAACACAGCCCCTGTCTACTGAATAACCCGCCCCAGTAGGAAGGCATCACCCTTGGGGTTCTGTCTCACCTCAAGTCCGTGTGTGAAGCACGAGGCCCTCACACCTCAACTTAAGACTGGAAGGTGTCGGGCAAGACCGGCCAGGTACCTCTGCCCTTCTGGCTGCTGCCCAGCCAGTGAGCGCGCGGGCCTCTCAGCACGTGGAGCCGCAGGGCTGCCCACACGCCCCCTCCCGCCAGATGTAGTCCAGGCCCAGCTGGGCCCGCGCAGGGATCCCCAGCACGGCCACCTGAGTGCAGTGGGTGCTACGGCTCTCTACATGTGCCTCCGCCGCTGCGGCCAGTGGAAGGCGCCCTCCGCGAACCTGGGCCCTGGAAGCGCACTGCGGCCATTATTCGCGGCGCCTCCTAGTGGGTCAGTGGCAAATCCTGCTTCTCGCGAGAGCTCCCCCTCAGTGGGGATTATATAATTTTCCCTAGGCGGGGTCGGGGGTGCTGGTGCCACCCTCCCTGAGAAAAAGTTAGGTGCAAGCACAAGTGGGAATAACGGAGTTGTCCCTGGGGGACATATGGGGAAGGGGTATTGTGCCCCCCCCACTTAGCTGGACAATGAGTCCTCTTATGCTAATGAGTACTTACGTCACTTCCGCTCTTTCTCAGCCGCCATTTTGGCTAGGGCAGGTTCAGGGACTCGCTCTGAGGCGCTTGTATTGTCTGCTGAGGGGAGACGCGGGATCAGCCCCCTCCCCCGCCCGTTGCCGCCGCAGCCTCCGCCGGCCCGGTCTCCCCTCCGCCGCCCGCCGAGATCCATGAGCTGAACTCCCGCCCCCCACTGGCCGCCGCCATCTTGTGCCCCCTCCCCCTCCCGCGGGCAGCGCTAAGGGGGATTTTGGCGTCTCAGGCACAGCTCCCTCTCTCGGTCCCCGCAGCTGAAGAGCGAGAGGAGCGCGGCCGCCGCCGCCCGCCTGCCCGCGCCGGTGAAGCGGCCTCTCCCACACCCTCCGTCTCCTCCCTCCGCCCCTCCTTTGTCTGCACCGCTCGACGACGCTGCTGCCGCCGCCTGCGCGGGTACTGGAGGGAGCTGCTCGCGCCGCCGCCCGCCGCTCTGTTGCGCCCGCCGCGCCCCCCGGCAGCAGCCGCGGCCGCGGCGCGAGCCGGAGCCCGCCGAGGCCACCGAGCCAGAGCGCGACGAGGCCCCGGGCGCGCCCTCGCCGCCGCCACAGCCGTGCCGCCGCCACCCGCCCGCCGCTGCTATCGCCCGGCCCCCGAGCACGCCGGCCCCGCGCTCGCCTCGAGGCCGAGTCAAGGTAAGCCGCGCGCGGCACCGCGGCCCGGCCCTGCTCCCGACCCTCCGTCCTCGAGGCTTCCGCCGAGCCGACCCCAAGGGCGACTTGTTGTTTAAATTGCCAGCCCTCCAACCACACACGCTCCTTTGCATACTCCGGGTCTGACGGACCGCCCGCCCCGTTAGGACCGTTCCCCGACTTTGCTCCGGGGGCTAGGCGCCGCCTCTTGCAGCCTGACCGCCGTTCCGAACCTCGTGAGTCCGCGGAGGCCAGCAGCCAGGCTGGCCCCGGAGCTTTAGCCGCTAATGGCATCTCCCTCCACCCCGCCCCCAGCAGTAACCTAGCTTCTCCCATCCCTGGAACTCATCCCTTCCTCCCGTCCCCCACTCCCAACGAGCCCCCACCCACACCCCCAAAGCCTGGGACGAGCCTTCTGTCAGGTCTACCCATTCTTAGCTAGGGGAAGGGGGACAGATTGGGGGGCGGGGAGCGTGCATAGCACGGAGTGAAAGTCTGCCTCTCCTGTGCAATTCTTCCTCCCCAACATGCTAGCTCCCCTCCTATCCTGGCCACGGAGTCCACCACCACCGTCTTTACTCAGTCGCAGTGCCTGGTTAGCACGACCTCTTAGGAGCATTGTGAGCTCCAACTTTGCAATGAGATGGTAGAAAATGGGAACCCAGAAAGCTGCGAAAAGATTTTTTTAATGCAATGAATGGGAGTAGTTCTTTGAGTACCCTTTTATTCACCTCTTTTTTCCTCGGCTCTGGGCTGCCTGCCTGCCTCCCCCCCCCCCCAACCTGGATGCCTGTCTGCTGGAAAAGGCGCGATTGCTTCTCTTCCTCTTCTGCCCAATATCAGGCGCTAAGGTCTAATATCCTTTTTAGCCACACACACCCACATTAAGTGTTCTTGATGTTCTTTCATTCACCAATTCCTCTGGACAGTTCTTACCATAACCCCATTTCTCAGACAAAGGCTTAGGGAAAAAGAACCAAACTGTTTCTCTTGCTTGCCATTTTAATGCTGTCCATCCCCACACACCCAGTTCCTATTCCTGATGCTTCTCGTGCAAGTGCCTTGAA